GCAGAGAAGTCAAGCGTTCTTCGAAACCCTCCACTTGCGATGCCACTTCCTTAGCTGTCACCATGGCCGAGGAAAGACGCGCTCTGATACCACTGATATGACCCAGAAATTTGACACACAGTTCACAGACTTACAGCAGCATTCACACACTTGAACATTAACAAAAGAAACTAGTATTCATTCAGCAGAAAACATTAACAATTGGTCGGTTCTTCAAGAGACCACCGGCTCTCCCAAACACTCACAATATTCTTTACTCAAAGAAAACATACCACCCCCATCCCCTAAAGCCCCTTCTTATACTCTACTGATAGCATAACTGACTCCCTCTATAAATGCCCAGCTGGCCTAGTTATAAATGCCCAAAAACTCTTCTTATTCATAACTGACATAGCTATAAATGCCCCAAGACTCTCCTTATTCCCTCCAGCTGTAATTGCCCTCATGTGATTAATTGTTCAATTATTTCCCCCCCTTAGCTGATTGTTGACCTTTCCTCTTCCTGGCATTAATTGGGGCCTATCATTTACCTCCTCCACTCTTCCAAATTGAACCTTATTCCATTCTTTTATTTTGCCTCTCAACCTTTTTAATTTTTTGTGGAATTTAACCCCATCCCATTTCACTTCTCTCAACCCTTCACTCCACCATTCCTTAACCTTAAGCAAGAAGTCCGGGTGTGTCAGCCACATATTTTCAAACCTGAATGGTCTAGGTCCATTACCAAGAGGTTCTTGTCCTACTTCTATAGGGTAGTGATCAGAGGTTATCCTAGATAGGGCCTTAGCCACCAAACCTCTCCAGTGGCTCTCCCAACCCTCATTAAATAGGAATCTGTCAAGCTTTGAGCAGATTGGGTTTTCTTGGAAGTTGGACCAAGTGTAGGTAGCTTGTAGTAGAGGAAGCTCCCATAACTCATAGGAATTTATGAAGTCATTGAACTTCCTCATACTAGTTGTAATGGCCTACCTAGGATTATTTGACTCATTTATGTCTTTTTGCATTAAAATCACCCCCCAAACACCAAGGACCTTCCCACAAACCTTGAATCCCATGAAGCTCCTCCTAGAACTCATTCCTCTCTCTGTGATTATTTGAACCATACACATTTGTTAGCACCCAAGTAAATCCATCTTCCACCATTCTGAATTTTAGGGATACAGTGAAGTTTCCTATTAGCTCCTCTACTGGTTCTCCGAAGTCCTCCCTCCACAAAGTTACTATTCCCCCCGAGGCTCCCCACGACGGAGCTGAGCACCATCTTACCCCTCTTATTTTCCAGATCTCCCTGACCCACTTTCTATCCAGTTCAGCTAATTTTGTCTCCTGCAACATCACTACATCAGGCCTTTCTCTTCTAAGTAGCTCCTTAATTAATCTCCTTTTTCTAGCACTACCCAAACCCCTTACATTCCAACTTATTATCTTCATTACCTCTCAAAAATTTAGCCCTCCAGTAAAGTGTTCCTTCAATTAGAACCCTTATTTCTTTCCCCTCTACCACTAAACTCGATATCCCCTTCGATGTCCATTATTAGTCTCTCTACTTCAGACTGTTTCTTCTTTTTCCTGTCCTTGTTTCCCACTGACTTCCTATTCTGCCCTTTATTTCCTAATTCCTGCCCCAATCTATTGGTTCTTGCCTCTGATTCAGAGTTTTTTGGAGCCACCTCAATCATTTCCTCCTTCTGTTTATATTCCTCCAACAGGGCACAAATCTGCTCCCAAATCCATTCTAACTCCTCTTGTTTCCTTTCTAACAACCCAACTCTCTTCTCTGATCGGACTCCATCATTATCAATGGCCACTTCCCTACTACCAATTGGTTGGTTTGGTCGGGATTCCAAGACATCTGTTACAGGCAGAGAACCCAAGTTGGTATCTAAAACCAAATGGACTGGCTTACCTGGAATTAGCATAGATGGTTGCATGTGGACCGGCTGCTGGGTATCAATTCTTGGAGTCAAGACTAGGCCCTTCCTCTTTTCCGGACTCAGCTGTGGAAGCAGAATAGGTACAACCAATACTTCCTCACCCTCTACAATCAAAGAAGCTTCACTTCTCTTTCCCTCTGCGTGAATCCTTAGGTAAGGCTCCAAGTTTGATTCCTGTCTCTTTGGCCTGATGTCCTGATTAGGCTCTACATATGGGATGGACTCATTTATTGGCTGGGGTGCACTCTGCCTTACCTCTTTCAGTATTCCCAACTCCACCTGTCTTTTGTATAGCATACCTAGTTTGGGAAAGATCTGTTCTCCGCTGCCAAGGCTCACTCTTCTTTGCGTTTTGATAGTACCAGAATCTTGCGGATCCGTCTCCTCCTCTAGGAATAACAGTTCAGTGTTTACACCATTTGCTGTCATATAGATAATAGTTCATTTTGGTTGTATATGTATGGTTTTACATTTTTTTTTGATAAGTTGGTCTTTCTGATATTTAACATACAGAAAAATTATTTTGAAAATAAATAAAAAACATCGATTTTAGGAGTCTTTGGATGTTCAAGTATCTTGTTTTCCAGGATATCTCTTTCTCACACTTTTATCCATGCTTTCCAAGTGATTGTGTCCAAGTTACATTATAAGGAAAACAAATTTTTCATAAAGTGAATCATAGAGGTGAACAAATGATACATCCAAATGCAAAGCTTTTTCCTTGATCAGTACCCAAATGTAAATCTTTTAACAGCACCTCCTATGTGTTGTAAAATAAAAATAAAGATGATCATTTGTACCTTTAAGAAATGGGTTCCTTTTCTTCCTGATGAGTTGATCAAGTCCTTCTCCTTCAAGGATTCCAGTGAAACCTCATCTCCTTATCTTGCAACTTCTCTGTCTCTTGAATTTACAGGGACAAACTTTGGCAATCCAGCATTCATTTTTGGCAATTAGTAAAAGAACCAGCACATAACATCAAAGAGAATAAAAGGATATCATAAAATATTTATCAAGAAAGAAGTAAATATTATATGCAACATAATACCTAAATACAGATCAAATCATTATACACAAGAAGCACTATATATCCAAAAATCTATTTTCATTGTTTTTTTTTAACTTACAGGTGGTTAAATCATGCAGGACTTGGTTTTAATATTTTAAATGAATTATGTCATGAAAATTTGTTGCTTTACCTGCGTCAAGTTCTGATACCTTTTACGTTTAAGAAGCTTCAGTAACAATGATATCAATGGGTACACATTTCACATTCAAGCATTTTCTATTGGTTTACTGGATGCTTAGGTACATCCATCCTGTCTATAGTAGTGTCATAACAGTCATATGCTACTCAGTTACAACTTCCAGTTTATCATTTGATAGAGGTAAACATATTACTTTTACTTGACAGTGGTAGATCATTTGGTCTCATGTATTACTGTGTCTGGATCTTGTTCTAGCTGCATTGGACATGCTATTCCATGTGAAGAAAGATCTCTAGTTCAGATGTTGTCTTACATATCATAAGTGCAATCTCTAGGAAACTTATCCACACAATCATCCAATATGCCAGATGCTTTGCTTTAACTAGTAAATGCCATATTGGCCCTTTTTATGAGCAATGATACTTTGTAGCTTTATTAAACGTGAAGAAAAGTCCAAACTTTACAATATGCCATCATACAAAAACCAGAAACAGATTAAATCTCACCACTCTCATCTTCAGATTCTACTCTGATTCCCTTATAATGATCCCCTACACCAACCAAACATAGGTTCTCTTTGAGAGACTCCAGTCCCAGCCAGGAGAGCCATCCATACCATTTGCTGATCTTGGAATCCACCTGAATGTGCAATACAGGCCAGTCCTAGAGCTCGTGCATGTCTAACCAGAAACCACAAAGCCCATGGTACGTCAACTCCAAATTTCAGCCAATTTATAACTACTTGGCAGTCCCCTGCTACTTGTATTTCAGTCCAGCCTGCTGACCACTATGAACTATTCTTTAACATTTATCAAATGGGAGTCTCAATTGCAGATCACAATTCAGGTGAAGAACATCTTATATCCTGATTCCTAATGATGAACACTGATGTTGCTTACATTGATAAATCATATCAGTAGTTGAATATTCCCACCCTGGGACTACAAAGGCTCACTAGCAAAGAACCAGATAAAAGGTATAATCATGGAATATAATGCAGACAGAGAGTCTTTAAAGAATCTAATTTGACCAGGTATTAATATAGCACAAATCGCTATGCAAAATAACCAGTTACCTGATATAAATATTTTGACCATGTTTCTAATTGGTGCATGGGCAGTCCTGCAATGACATCAAAGAGGTTTAGTTAATTACTTAGGGGATGTTCAACAATGTGTACGGTTTTGTTTTTGTTTTCAAAAGAAAAAAAAATAAAAACATACACATTGCATCTTTTTCTCATAACACCCCCCCCCCCCCTTTAGAAAAGATATAGAATTCTAAGACAGGTCTAACAATATTGTGAAAACTCAAAAAACACTACCATGTTTTTGATCATTGAAGAAACTCTACTACAAATAACATTCACTTTCCAAAACACTAATAACTCCAAGAAACATTATCTCAAAATCAACCATACAAAAAAAATTCTCAATGACCCCCCAAACAAAAGAGTAAATTACAAAGACTCGCTTGTGCTATGGGGTCAGTGACAAATACCCCCTGAACTTTCATTTGTGACAAAGGCCCCCTAAACTTTCACTTTGCGACAAATACCCCCTGACAGTCAAGTTAGATGGCGAAATGCATTACCAAAATTCCCACATAAACTTTCCTTATTTTCTTTTCCTTGCCCTTTCTCTTAATCCCTAATTGACCAAAAATAACAAGAATCATTTCACTGACACAGAAAAAAATTTTTTTTTTTCTTTTTAATTCTTGATTCATTTCACTGACATGAATGCCTCTCTCCATCTTAAAATATAAAAATTATCCACTCCTTTCTCCAATAAATAAAGAAAAACCAAACAAAACCATAAGTTTATATCTATCATAAAGAAACCTCTACCATTTTATTCGAATGCTGAATCCAGCCAGAAATCTGCAAGGATCTATTGGAGCAATTGACGGGACTTCAATGTCATATTTAGAAAACTAATTGAATCATAAATTGTTCAAATATATAAGAAAGGGTAGTTTGGGGATTTAAAAAAGTTTAAGCAGCTGAATGAGAATCTTTTTTGAAGTTAACTGATGGAACACTACCTGAGGGGGGCATTTGTCACTGATTCCATAGTACAAGGGGCTCTTTATAATTTACCCAAAAGGAAAGAAAAGACACAAATATGTGAATACCAATTTAGAATTTATTGCTTTCTGAGAAGAAGGGAAACATATAACATATATGTGCCTTGGCAAAACTTACCCGGACATGTAAGGATGGTAAAATTCTTTTATTTTTATCAATAAGAAAATTGATCACCCCCACCAAAAAATAATAGTGAAATGTAAGTACCAATTTGGAATTCATTGTTTCCTAAGCAAGGAGGGGAGCATCTGGCATATATTAGTGTATATATATATTTGCAAACTCATTTGGACATGAATCAATGGTGAATTGACCTTATCGAATTGTGTAAGCCCTGTTAATTGTAGAAAATAGACCAGTAATGTATATGCTTTGCTTAAAAAAGAAATGGACATCTTGTATTTATTCCACCTCAATTTCACTGCCGATTTACTAAAAATCATGATTGGACATCTTGTTGAGAAACAATATATGACTAATCAGCTACCCATTTTATTCATCTTTTCAAAACATAGTTATAAACAAGCGAGTAATGAGATACCTGCGCCCATTCCTCTTGAGTTTGGGGATATGGCGGTAAAGGGGCATTTGGCTACCCTCGAATCCTTTGCAGACACTGGTACCGGACCTCGACTTCTGACCCCTCATCCCGAACCCACAGCAACTTCCTTGACCTGCTGAGATACCTTTCCCTTTCCTCTTGTTTCTCTTTCTGGAGCCGGGCTGCGGACCCAGACTATCAAGCCGTAGTCGAACATCAGGACCTGGTAGAACAGAAGCAGATGAAGAAGAAACTTGACCAAGAACGAGAAGCGGTCTTCCTTCTTTTCTCTTTGAGTGATGGAATTTGAGCCAAGCTTGTCTTAAGAATACTTGAATGGCGTGGAAGGGTAGTTCTCTTCTCTGGTTGGAGTAGGCGAATAGAGCGAGAGAAGGGCTGATATATGCCATGCCAATGCCATGTTTATAGAGAATGGTGGCCAAAACAAACACAAGGAAAGAAAAAGAAGCCTGCGACTATGGTCCATGAGAGGCTGAGGGAATAGGTGTCAGCTGGTCGGGGCCGCTTTCCTAGCAATTCTTTGGGTAAAACCTTTTCCAGCTTTAAAACCTCTCTTCATCACCCCTTTTAAGTTTTAAATGCAGCAGAATCAGAAGATGAGAACCTTCTGTAGTTTGTATAGGCGGATTTTATGATCTTTCAGGTAGGACCCATTTGATGATGGGCTCCTATTGGTCCAAAACATGGACAAGTGGCAATTTATGGGGCTCCAGCTTTGGACTATAACGAAATAAACCTTGTCAAGTCTATGGTTTTGTTTTTTGTTTGTGAATTTGTTCAGGAAGGGGAGGGAGTTCATGACCACCCACCAACTACATGGGCATCTGGGTTTCACCAACATAAACTGTCTCTGGATCAGAGCAGAATCATATTGGAGCTGAAATTTGTACCTACTTCTATTCCGGCAAATTAAATAAATAACCCGTCCCTAGCTTCATCTTAAGTTCCACTAAATCGTGAAAATTGAAGGCTAAAATTCCATGTTTTCTCAAGTTCTATTCTACCTACGACACCAAATAAAATGGACCCTATGTGCAGAAATCAGAATTGAAGATCATTTTGTTAAATTAAAAGTCATAGAATCATGGTGACTTTTGATTTAGGGTATCTTTTATCTGGGGCTGGTTTAGTGGTTCTGTCTGAATTGCATAGCCTTTTCGAAGGAAACAATTTCTAATTAGCTGTACAGTAAACCAGACTAAACAGATCTCTCATCTAGAGGATGGAATCAGAATGATTGATGATTTGGATAGGGGGTCTCCTCGATTAGAAATATGTCTCAACTTTTGGCAGTCCATGTCATCTGTTATAATGAAGCTCTCAAAGTGAAAGTGAACTGCTCTAGCCACTGAAAGATTCATCTCTTTAATAGATTAATTTAAGAAAGACCCAAGAAGAAAAGAGACCTACTTTGTGCACATGTGACATGACAGGGCTATAAGACTGAAACCTGCCATTGCCATGGACACTTGCACATTAAGGGTCTTCATGTGTGTTGGCATTCCCATTTGTCTACCAGCTCAATAACCCTTGAGATAATTTGACTTTGACAACCAATTGAATAGAATTGTTTGGGCCTGGGCCTGGGCATGGCTTTTGAAAGTTTCAGCCCAAAGAAACATGATATTAGGATTTCGTACCATGTATTATCTCCTGAATCTTTGTTGAGTTGCTTTCGTTAAAAGCTGCTTTGGAGAAGCCACTAAAAGAAGCTTTTGGGGAAAGTCTTTATTTGGGTTGAAAGACGGTCAACATATGCTTTTTGGGTCCTTCACCAAACATTGCTTATAGGCTATTCCTGTAAGGCCCATCTCACAAAGCCCTCCCAGCCAGGCAGGCCATATATGAATATGAGTGCTTTCCCTAAAACCCCGAGACAGAAAATTAACCTCTAGCTAAGTGAACGGCAAACAGCTAGGGGTGCAATTTGGGTGGGCTCGAGTTGGGCTTGTATCAGAATTTGAATGGGTTTGGACCTTTATGGTCCGCAGGTCTGAGCCCAAAGCAGTGTAAAATACCAAATCGGGCCAACGTACGCAAGTTGCACCCTTACAAACAGCAGATGAAAAGCCACATAGGGCAAGTCTTTGATCATATATCCTATCCACCAGGCAGAAGAAGAGTTATGCAGCTTACAAAGCAAGTGACGTAAAGGGTGGAGAAAAAGAACAAGGAAAAAACTGTTCCCCTCCTATTGACGAACACACCCATCATCTTGGACAGCCCATTTGACGTGGAAAAACTTATTTTGTTCTTAGCCAATAGGCCCAATACATCTCATGATCATAATTAAACCAACAACTATAACTTTTTATTATAATTGCATCTAGATGCTTCTTCCATGGTTTATTTACGTCTACTACTTTAATTCGTTCCTCATACAAGTGGACCCATATGTGGCTCTCTCCCTTTGAGTGTACCATGTGCTTCCTTCTTATTCCACTCTAATGGCAGCCTTGTCCATCTATCGATCTGCTTCTTTACTTCAATTCAAATCTCATGGAGATAAACCCTTATTAAAAAGATAAAGGAAGCTAAAGCTACCCTTGTCTCCATCCTCTTGTTCCTTCCTTTGTCTCTTTCCCTTCCCTCTTCACTTTTCATTATTCATGACTCTATTAACACATCATCTCTTTACCCTTCTTTGATGGACTACTCCAAATCCCTCTAAAATCCGTGTCACCCCACATGTAGTTTGCTTTGATTTGTGGGTCCATTGCTGCAACTTGTATACAGTATTTACAAAAGCTTACCTATGTATGTAGGATATTCATGACATGCACATTCATGATCTAGTCATCAATCGTCAAGCAACATAATCTGGGTGGGTCAGTGTGCAGGGAAGAAAAGTGGGGAGGAATCTCTTTGAATTCTCCCTTCCCACATTCTTACTTTGCTCATCTTCTCTTCACACCACTGTAACTGTTCTTCATTGATCTCAGACATTCTCAGCACCCTAGACACCACTTTCAGATCTATCAGGCCCATCAGTATCTCCATCTCCTCCTCCTCGCTTAACTTTCTTTTTCTTATGCATTTGTGAGCACGACAGAGATCTTTAAGCTTTCTCTTTTTCTGCAAATCAATTCCAGCAAAGTGTTTAGAATTTTTATCATGCATGTATGGAAGTTAATTTAGGAGGCAAATAATGAGATCTGAGATTGAGAGTTGAGATTAGTCTCACTTTTTCATTTGCTTTCTTCACCATTTTTAGATGAATTGGGTCGACCCCACGGTGCCTCTTAAAAAAAGATTTAATGATCTCACAGTGGTTCTCCTTATCCGCCTTGAGAAAATTCATGAATGTTCGAATTCCATCTTCCATTATTCTAAGGAATTTAGTTGATGAGATCTTCGATCCAAACTCCTCCTTTTGATCATCACCTGAATCTTAAGCAAAATAAAATAATGGAAAATGCCAGAATTTCAAAACTCAATAGGTATAAAGCCAAAACAATAAAAACATTTCGTGGAAAATTGTTCCTCATGATTCTGTTTGTTTTCATACACGTAAAATGAAGGAAAATTAGGAAAATGACTTGTTTTCCTATATATTAAGGGGGGTTCTTTTTTCAGATTTTGAGAGGGGGGAAAGTTGATCAATGGGATTTTGGTTCCTATTAATCAAGACTCCCATGTTCTTTTTTAAGATTTATGTGGAGACCAGAGAAAAGTTATTTTTCTGGATATCACTTACCTAATAGGTGGGTAAATAACTTTCCCACCTAGGGGGAAAGTTGCCAACACTTGAATGAGACAAAAATGTCCCTTTTAATAATGGATTTTATGGATAAAATGGTCATTGACTTAGTTACATGAAAAATAAAAAAACATTGATAAATGCATTTACCGGGTAAGTGTTTCCAAGAAAAAACTTGTTCAGGTAACTCATTTACCTGGATAAGTAACTTACCAAAAAACGAACTAGGCCTAAATATCATTTTCCAAGGAAATCACTCATCTTCCTTCACTTTACAACTACAATCAAAAGAAGCCAGCAATATACATAATGACAAGGACTAGTTTTTCATTACTACCTCGGAACTCAGGAACTTGAAGTAGTTTCGGTGCAGAAATCCTCATCCTGGCATAAACTTCAGGTCTCCTGCCATACTCATAAGGCTCATTCTCGATGTACCTCTGTAGCAAAACCTGAAATTGCTGAACCTGCTGCGCAATTCGACCAGGACAGCCAATATCTCCTTCTTGTGAAGCTCTGAAACGCTGAAAGTTCTTGTAGTTCCAGTTAAGAGCTTCCCATGCCAAGCAAATTTGCGCTACATAAGCATTCTCCAGTTCATGATATGGGTTTCTACTGTACCCACGAGGCCTTTTGGTTGTAAATTTATGTACGATCCTCTGTGAGATAGACCTTGGAAATACTTCAATCGTCCTAAGAGATTCTGACGACAAATTAATTAAGGTTGTGTTAATTAATCACGGGCAACCAATCAGTCAAAGGGTGTATAAAAGATAAAAGACGGAAAAAAGAAAAACCAAGAAAAGAGTCACTCCAGTTAATTAATAGCTTGCCTGTTTCACTGAGTTTCTGTGCACTAATTCGATTCAGGAACGTCATCTCCTCATCATACTTCTGGAACACTGTGTAGGACTCCCAGTTGGGGCAGCTTCTTCTAGATGAAGAAGAAAAAGGATCTTCTGAATCCCTGAAATTAATGGAACTTTTCCATTCAGAAGAACTCTTAGACGTTGACCCAACTGTAAACGAGTCCCCAAACATCTCATCGCCATCCTTCACTTGAGCTTCAAGCTTTCTGGTTTTCAACCGAGGTGGCACAAATATTAAAAATTTTTCATCTTCTGGCAAGTTCCTCTCTGCATTTTCGTTGTCTGTTCCTTCTCCGTTGTCACACCCTTCACAGCAAACATTGTCAAAAACAAAAAGAAAAAACGACCCATAAAACCAATAAAACAAACTAGAATTAATGCTTACTTTCATCTCGGTTCAATTTCATAGGTGTGGCAAATGAATCAGTATCACTAGAGGTAAAGGTCTCGTCAGCCTTAGCTTCACTATCATGTTCGTAATTTGATGCAAGTGAGCTACAAACAGGCAATTGTTCCTCGAAAAATATTTCTCGAAGGCCTTCGAATATGCTGTCGTCGGACCCTGTTCGTTCTTCAATAAGAGTTTTATTCTTCTCGAGGTTTTTAATGGATAGAAACGATAGGGCTTCTCCACCATGAATGATGTTGGCCACCAGATCCTCTTTCCCAGTACACTCAGTGCTGTAGTATGCATGATTTTCTTCTTCTTCTTCCTCTTCTTCGGAATAGCCAACTTGGTATTCATAGTCGCTGCTGCAAAAAGAAATAATCAAGTAAAATAACACAGACAGACAGATAGATAGATATATATAGAGAGAGATGATTGCACCATATATACCTGTTGGATATTGTTTTTGTGCACAGAAAATGATGAAAGAACTTGGGAAGCAAAATGGAAGAGAAGTAGAAGAAGAGGAAAAGAAGGTAGAAGGAGGTTGAGACATTGAAGAACAACACAACAAGCGGCTCTTTTGGACATGGACATAGCATTTTGTTAATGGTTGGTTATTGCTCCTTTGAAATCAAATGGCCCTCCCACCCAAGTCCCAAGTTTTCTTTCCAGGACAAAAGAAACGGTATAAAAAGTAGGGCATTCACATCACAATATCTCCTTATTATAACGTCCAAAATGCCCAGGTGGCTTCATCAAATGACCAATCTGTCCTATTTCAGTAGAATCGAATACAATTTTTGCTGTAGTCTTTGACCCCATTAACAAACAGTAGGTCTCTCAAATACAACTTCTGCTGAATAGTTTCCAGATCGATTCAACCCAAAGTCCCAAACTGCTCTTCATAATCTCTGTTGCGATTTGCGAAGTGGGGCTTAGACAGACAGTTGGACTCTCTTGCATGCGTACATGCCAATGTGCGAAGCACTCTGTTGGGGAATAATCGCAGAAGTTAAAAAGCAAAAAATTTATTATTCTTGGCGTTAAAAGTAGAAATTTCTTGTAGTGTAGTTGGTATGAAAAGCAGACACTTCTTGTAATCTACAAGGGACCCCTCCAATAGCCAAAAGCTAGCTAGGCCACAGCCCACACGCAGCCATGAATCTGTTAATTGCTAGTAGTTCTTTAACTTTTTAAAAGAAATGTTAAGATATTGTTGATAGCTCAGAAAAGAATTTCTAGATTAATCCAATTTAAGAATTAAGAGTTCAGGGAGTGTAATAATATAAAGAGTGTTAAGGTGTTTTGGTCAGTTCAATGTGGTTCTTAAAGTATTCTTGCCTGGTAGTGGAAGAAAACCGTCACTTGAAAAGGTGAAGGGTGTTTCCGTCATTTTGGACATTCAAGCCGTTCGGTCGTCAGTCCCCCAGTCACCGACTCACCTCTCCTCTTAACTTGGCCGTTAAGGTTCTGATTTCTGAATTCTGAGCATCCCATGGGCCATGGCATGCACACGTAGAATGGGTCTACACTTTTTGACCAGGATTGAACCTGGTCCCAATCCTTGATCCATTAACCCAGTTTAAATTCAGACTGGATGAAGGGGGGTGCATGTATTTTTGTGTAGAATAGCTTGCAGAATAAGTCCAAAAAAGTATACAAATAAGTTCAAGATTTAGGGACTGCGATCATGTAACATAAAGAAAAACATATAGCACTATAGCAACATGATCATGATTCATCACCTAACGCAGTAAATTCTTCTTACTTTTTCTTTTTTATGATCAATCATGATTCATCACCTAATTGTTTTACACTTCTATAAACGGAAGTTACTCAATTCGATTTTAAATGGGATTATTTTGGATTTAGATGTTAAAATTTGCATCTAATTAATAATTGTATTATATATAATTATATAAAATTTAAATTGATAAATAAAATATTTTATATTTATATATTATACATGTATAAATTAAAAATAATCAGTTTTCTTAAAATTATTATTTTTTCATTATATATATATATATATAATAAGATGAATGTGGATTTAATCTAAATCCGATCCGAGTCAAATTTTTTATTGGATTTGGATCCATATGTTTGATAATTGGATTGGATGTGGATATAGTTGAATCGGATCTTATTGCAGTCCTACTTCTGAACAATATGCAGTTAAGTTACTTAGAAAATGCAGCTTATTAGAGCAATATCCACAAATATTTTATTGCCCAGTTGCCAAATAGCAACAAAAAAAAATGGTGTAACTAATTCTTCTATTTCCAGGGAAATATTGCATTTATAAGTTTCAATACTAAAAAGGCTATGGTACTGAAACACAAAATGGGTTGCTTAAGTCATTTCTTTCCTGGTTTGATATCAGAAAGTAACATAGGTTAAGAATTAAGATTCTCTCCACATGCCTTGAAACGATGCCTTAACCCAAAACAAAAAGTAAAAAAAAAAATAAAAGCCCAGCATAAGTATAGCTAGCTTTAGCCCTTTCTTTCCTTATCTCGTTTTCTGGTGGCCCATTAACTTGGGCTTGGCAATTTACTATTGGCTGGATTGGGCTTGATCAAAGTCCATAGGGTGGATGTGGTAAGGCTCTGTGTTTCCAGTATGAATTTCATGTGCACCGGTGTAAATGCATGAGTGCAAAAAGGTTGAGTGTAAATTTTGGTTTATTTTTGTTTCATATTTTGATTTTGTCTTATTTGTTTGTGAAAAATAAAATATGAAGTAGAATGATATCTTCATCTTATATAAAAGAAAATAGAGGTAGCACAAGGGTTATATGTTTGATGATGAGTGAGAAGATGATGCATTCCTCACTTTATATAAGAGAATTTATTTAGGAGGGAGGTGTACAAACTATAGTTTTAAACAAAAAGATGCAAAACTGAACCAGATACAAAATTTGCACCTGGTTCAGATTTACATTGCAAATAAACACAGCCTAAGTTATTCTCTCATCCAAAACATCTAGGGGTTGCAAATGGATGGACTGAGTGTGGATTAAAGACGAATCCATCCACCAGCTGACCACACCCATCAACAACTCATTTCTGACATGCATATGTCATATGCATTGCGACCCAACCTAATCCATCCATTTTTGGAGTCCAGATTGTCTGGTGACAAAATCATGCACAGCAAGAGGAAACTCGCGATATGCTACCCAACTCTGTGCATGATTTTGTCTCTATTCCATCTACATCCTATGACCCATTTAAATATTTAAGTTTATGCAAATATTTGAGAAAATAGTATTTTTTTATATCTTATGTATTTCCCTGTCATGTCATTTGCTACAATGTCTAACGGTGAAAGGAAATAAAGCCATTGAATTAAAAAAAAAAAAAAAAAAGAAAGAAAGGAAAGGAAAGCCACAACGTGTGTAAGACCCAAGTATATATGAACCCTTTGGTCTGGTTTTTCAAACAGGTTACAACTTTTGCATGATTGAGTCCTAAGTGATTTCTTCTCAAGGTTTTTAAAATCGAATCGGACAATAAATCGTTTAGGGTCCGGTTCTTAGGTCGAATGGTTTGACCATTTGAACCAAATAGATAGCCCATTTTAATAAAAAAATTTAAAAAATAAAAAATAAAGATGGCCAAAATTCATTGAATGGTTTAAATGGTTTGATCATCCAGATCAGCGGTTTGCTGACCAAATCAATGATTTTTGGCTGAAAAACGGTTCTGGGGCGTATCGTGCATGTGCTGCGCACAAGCAAGTATGTAGAAAATAATTACTAATTAGGCTCAGTTTAGAAAAAATTGCAAATACAAATATGTACAGTATAAATACATACAAAATATATATAACGTTTTGCATTTTACATATTTGTATTTGTACTCTTTCAAAATTTAGCCTTAATTTTATTAATTAACTATATTAGTTTTTATCAAGACTATAAGAGGAATATTATGCACAAGTGCACATAGTAAAACATATAAAGTAACATGATATGATCAATTTAAATTTTTATCACATTCATCAAAACCAAGGCAAGTATCTGTTTAGATAAAATCTAAAATCTCTCTCTCTCTCCCTATGTAAATATGGCATGAGTCCCAAAGAAACCCTCCTTTTATTACTTCACTTCTCCCTGTTACACACACACACAAATATGACACTTCGTTTGGGGACACATGGGCCAAAATGCACACACACACACATACAAATATGACACTCCATTAGGGGACACTTGGACCAAAATGTGTGCGCACACACACACAACTATAACACTCTATTAGGGGACACTGGACCAAAACGTGCATGCACACACACACAACTATGACACTTCATTAGAGGACACATGGACCAAAACGTGCACACACACATACAAATATGACACTCCATTAGGGGGCACATAGACCAAAACACGCACACACACACAACTATGACACTTCATTTGGGGACACATGGGCGAAAATGCATGCGCACGCACACATACACAATTATGACACTCCATTAGGAGACACATGGACCATAACGCGTGTGCACACACACACAACTATGACACTCCATTAGGGGACACATGGACCAAAATACGCATGCACACACACACACTACTGTGACACTCCATTAGGGGACACATGGACCAAAACGGTGCGCACACACACACTCCCCNCCCTCTCTCTCTCTCAAAAATGACACACTAGGTCCAACACAACCCCCTTTTTCTTATTTGCCCCTCTCTCTCTTTGGTCCATGTCACCTATTTCACATAATGTGAGGAGGAAATCTAGATTCATTTTTTCCTTGGTGTATATATACCCTTATATGCATGTCCATGCAAGTGGATTTTCAGCATTTTTAATTCCAACCCGGAAATTAATACAAAAAAAAATCCAATTTGAAAATGAAACTATTTTTCCATATGAATGGTGAGCTAATGGTTTAACAGTCAAATTGATCAGGTCAAGATATTATAATTAAATACTAAAAATATGAAATGTAGATTTATAATAATAAAAAGTTTATAGAAAAATGCAAAAAAAGAGACTAAATTTATCTCTAATATTATAGACTTATCATATTAAACAAAAATAAATGTGATAAATGAGTCATTTTTATAAATGATAAAAGCAGCTAAAATGCAGAAAAAAAAATCCCTGACCTGTTAATTGATTGGGTCATAGCAGTTCAACCGGCAGGATCACAAATTATTAACCAAGTCAACTTTTTTTTTTTTTTTGCATACAACAGTTTTGGTGGTGAAATGTATCTAGAATCTGCCAAATTACCAATTGACCAGTCCAACCAACCGATTTGATCACAGATTGGAAACATTGATGAATTTTGGTCCCAAGTAGAAAGAAATTAAAGCGACAACGTTGATATGATGAATTGGCCGCAGCACTTCTTCTTCTCCACACATGGATAAAGAATAAGGCACCTAATAATTATAAAGAGATACCAGGTGGGTGGCACCACCTGGAAAACTTTTCCCCTATTTCTTGAAAGACTTTAATTCCTTGTTCAATTAATACAGGGCATCCAAATTCTAAACGTGTTGATGTGGTTGTGAATACGAAAGTAATTTTGGGATTTCTATGGCAATAATTTCTCATAAACAATGAGCAATGGAAAACGAGGCTAACTACATAATGATTGTTATTATATATTTAAAATGTCTCTACAATGTGAAAAAAAAAAGAATGAAAGTAGCTAGATCATTCAGATTTGTTTAGGGAGGGGAGGACCGTTTGTATTTCGAACTTAATTAATACAGATGAATAATAGATAGAGCGCTCATCAGTGCAGATAATGACATTCAATTTCCAGGAAGAAAGAATCATGAACCACTGCCTGGATTAAACTAGTTTTAGCACTTGGCCGCTTTCATGGCGTACTTGGGTCATAACAACCAGGACCAGAGGCTCGACTCAACCCCTGAACTAACCAATTAAGATAATGCTTTTAAATAAATATTAGACTGATGAGCCCAAGCAAGAAGTAGAAAATCAAGGAGAGTATCTTCGTTAATTCTATATTAAATAATTATACGCCTTACCAAGGAGAGAGAGAGAGAGAGAACCAACCTCCAAAGAAGATAATATAAAGCTCAAGTTAGGATTGAAAATGAAAAGTAAGCAGGCTGTAAAGATAGCGATGGAGGAGCATATAAAGAAATTACATGGCAACAGCGTTAAGAGAAGATGTTTGGTCGTGCGGGTTGGTGACCATATTAACCACTCTAAGTAATCCCTGTTGATCCATTCAACAGTTCCAGCCGACAGCACAGATCTTGAAATATCTGTTTGTCAATTATTTTCGTAACCTTGGATTTCTGTCGAGTTTCTGTAGTTCGGCAAATCGGACGAGTTGACTCCAGCTTAGTACGGAGTTAATTAATTAATAATTTAATACTGATAATACTTAATTAATTATTGGTAGTTTTAGCTAATTAATAAGTTGGTGAAGCTTGTGGGGCGCTCGTATAATCCCCACTAGCTAGCAATTTTTTAAGTAATTGGGGACAATATTGGTTAATTAAAACTGTGAGGCTGAGTTAATTAGCTAAAAGATGGTGAGTGAACTCAGGCGAGTTTAATTTGTAAAATGACTTGAAAAGTTAACGGGTGCAAGAGAGATATTAATTTGATATATCCTCAGAGCAGGCTTCGAAATCCATAATTCTGTTCCACGTACTCTCGAGTTGAATCATAGAGTACTTGGGAGTGGAAATGGAATTGAATTCCACTCTCCAGACAACTCCATGATTTACCAGCCAATTTCTGATTTCTGCTCCATTAAGAAATTGGGTCCAAATAGTCGAACCCAGGAAGCTAGCAATGGAATTGGCCTCCCAGTTCCATTTCCATCTTGCTCAGAGAATTACAGAATTTTACATGGGAATGAGTCTTACCCTATATATTTTATTTGCAATATATATTATTCACTTAACAATGCCATTTGCACTTCCATTTGTCTGATAAAGATAGCCCATTTGTCTGCATGTGTGTGTGAGAGAGCAAGAGAGATCTTCGTCTTCTACAGAGGACACAGCACAGCACCAGACTAGAGCATTCCACAAACACGTAGCCAGAATAGTGTCCACATACGTAGCTATCACAACATTTCAGACCTTGGAAAGAATAGAATACTATACGCCCCTTCTATTGGTCTAGCTAGCTAGCGTGACAGATTGCGGGGTCCGGTAGGTGGAAACCGTTGCAGGTGGTTACACTGGTAGAGACAAGAATATCTATCCGGTGACACGAGACTCAACTTTCATGAACTATATTTGCTAAAAAAAATAAGGTCACCACTGTTGAACGGAACCTTCTTACCCAATCAATTTTCGCAAAATACTTTACAATAATCAGGGAAGATTAGGGGGGTGTCTCAAGATACAAAATGGCCACTTGTGCCGGTGACACGTGGCACATCATGATCTACTACTTGATGGGTCCTACCTAGTAGGATACCATGTTAAAGCTGTTGATCGACCTGATTAATTATCATAGATCGTCATTTGTTACTTGGAAATTTCTTTTGGCCACATGTAGATCTTACTACTTAAACCTGTTTAATTAGCAAGAATTAAAACATGAAAAAGTTTTAGGGTGTGGAATATATATATCAGCAGCAGCTTCGTGTTCAAGTTTGAGCAGCGTATAGAAAACGACGTACTGCATCTGCATCTTATTAATATTTGAAATAATTTCAGAATTCCTCGATCTACTTGTTAGACATCCTGTTTCTTGGCTTGAGAGGTAGAAGGCCAGTTTCGAGTCTTAACATGGAGGGGAATCTTCCTCCTGGTTTTAGATTTCACCCAACCGATGAAGAACTCATTACGTATTATTTAACTCGCAAGGTTTCCGATTCCAAGTTTGTATCAAGAGCTATTGCGGTTGTTGATCTCAATAAATGTGAACCTTGGGACCTCCCAGGTAGTCTCTTCTTCTTCTTCTTCTTCTTCTTCTTCTTCCGTTAATCTTTATATATTATTTTCAATGTTGTTTTATGGTTCTTAATTAATTTTCTTTCTTTTGGTATCTTATTGGATTTTTGTATAATTATAGCTAGGCTCCAAGCTCATGTTAGATTGATTCTTTAGTCCTGATTGAAAATTTCCGCGCTAACGATCGAATAAAGATAAATTCAGTGCCACTTATCATTTCTTTCATTTTTCTTCCATTAATCAAGAGATTCAAGATGATCAAGTTACTTTTTCGATACAAGCAAACCATATAATTAAACTATAAACCGAAGCAAGGGAGTTGTTCTATCAGAGCGCACCAAGAACCAGAGAACTCGTGCATGTAATGTCTTAGCTAGAGTGGTTTGCCCAACGGAAAAAGGTAATTTTGGTTGTGACTTTTGTATAGGCAAAGCTTCTATGGGGGAGAAAGAATGGTACTTTTTCAGCTTGAGGGACCGAAAATACCCAACTGGCCTTCGAACAAACCGAGCCACAGATGCAGGTTATTGGAAAACAACAGGCAAAGACAAGGAGATCTTTCACTGTGGTGTGGTGGCAGGGTTGAAGAAAACCCTAGTATTCTACAAGGGTAGAGCTCCCAAGGGAGAGAAAAGCAACTGGGTGATGCATGAATATAGGCTAGAAACCAAGTTTACGTACAAACCCATTAAGGTAGGTAATTAAAGATGCATGTATATATACTGAATTAAGTTGAAATACAAGCTAGCTAGCTTATATATTCCTCCCTTCTGGTTCTTCTGAATTCGATATTTATCAATGAGAGCTTTTTGCATGTTTCTTCACAGGAGGAGTGGGTGGTTTGTAGGGTGTTTCAGAAGAGCGCCACCAGTAAGAAACCAGAGTTTACTCCATTGCACGCGTCTCTTGAATCAAATTGTGATGCCGGTACATTGATGAATGAGTTAGAAGGGATCGGATTATTTCCAGACCCAAGTAGTACTGTAGTTAATTCTTCATCAAGCTGTTTCGGTGCTATTTCTAGTAACAATAACAATAGCAACAATGACATCAGCTGCTGTGTCGTCAACCCAAACATGAATTGGGTTCCGGCAAGAGAAGCCACCAACGATAATAATATTGCCCCACTGTCATGGCCTACTCCAGGCTTGCTTAGCTCAAACCTATCAATGAATTCAATGATCTTGAGGGCATTACAGCTGGGCGGGTATCAACTTCAACCCCGAGAAAAAGCAACAATGACCGACTTAAGCTCATCAATTCATCCAGATCCAGTACTGCAAGAGAACTCCCGCTTCATAACTGATTTAAATTCAAACTTCCCTGCATCTTCTTCATCTAAGGCTATTGATGCCGATGCCGTGCAGCAACAACCATTACTATTCAATCTGGACTCTACGTGGAGAAGCTGTTGAAGCAAAGGACTAACACACAAGTTGTCATTTTTATTTTCTTTTCTCAGGTAGTGGATTTGAACCATGCCATATATGCATGATCAAAACTTGAACGAACCATCCCAATCAGCATTAAATAATGCACAAGTGTAATCATTGTGTACTTCATCATCGATCAATTCCTTCAAACTTGTAGTTAGATGGAAAAATCAAAATCCCCATTTGTTTCTTGTCACCTTTATGTGCAATCTAAAGAATGCTTTAATTTTATGTCCTTTTGTAAATTATATTTGGAAGCAGCCTAATTAACTTTACGCTGTGTTTGGTTTGAAATTAAGTTCCCCTCCTTTCTTTTCCTTACCCTTCTTTTCTTTCAAACCAAATTAACGTAGCCTCAATGAAAATGTGTGCGATGAATTGAATAGAATGTATATATAATTAGAATGGCTGTAATAATGTTAGATTAATGGCTATACCAATCAAAGCATGCGCCCATGAATGTATAAGATAAATGTTCTGCTGTCTATTTTTTGTCAGTGTACACGTGTACATATCCGCAATATCTACAACAGGGTGATGATGATCAGCAATATCAAGGGGCTGACAAGACTCCCTTAATTGGCATCCTTAATTGTTAGTTATTATTTAACATTATTGTTTTGAAGTTAATGTCAAACCCCCTGATGGTGTTAACATTGATTGAGAAATTATCTAATAATCACCTATATCAATTTGTGCTTTCAAAGCAATGGTCGAGGCTGGGTGGTGTCTGATGTTAATTGATGACGAATATGATATATTCTACCATATAAAAACCGCAACACATCACTTAGATGGATCAGATCTAGTGATTTATTATATTTATAGATACTATTTTGACAAACAACATCTTTGGTTTGATTTGATACACGACTTAGATGGGCAAGATTAGCCCTTTGCTCTAGCTCTAGGAGACCCACACGTTAATGGCCTTGACTTTTTGGTCTGATTTGATACATTATTTGTATGGCCAAGATTGGTTGAAATCTTGGTATCACTTGAATGAATAGATTTATCATCGATCTTGGGAGACCGCTTTAGTGGCTCAAATCTGTTGATTTGGTACTTGATGAATTAATTTTTGGGTGATGATCAATTTTTTGTGCTAAGTACCTCGTCATTTGGTTTGCTTTTGAATTTGTCGGTGAGTACGTCTCGTAGGTCACTAGGTCGGCGCTTGTGCCAGGCCGCCAAGTCCCGCCTGGGCCAAGCCACCAGGTCACGCCTGGGCTAGGCTGCCAGCTCGTGCCTGGGCCAGGCTGCCAAGTCGCGCCAGGGCCAGTCCGCCAGGTGGCGCCAGTGCCAGGCTGCCAGCTCATGCCTGTGCCAGGCTGCCAGCTCGCACCAGGGCCGGGCCATCAGGTCGTGCCTGTGGTTCGGACACCATCAACTTGATTGAGGCAAGTTGTTGCCAAAGTGGTTCCAAGTGTCACCTAATTGTTTTGAGGTGCCATATGTCACAATATCATTGGAGGGCCAAATCCGCCCTCATCATTTGCCCCCCCACTCTCGAGCCGAAAGTAACTCGGCGAAGGGAGTAGATTTCTCCTTTTGGCCCGGAATGAATAATTCGATGAGCTCGTAAGCGTCGATTCAATTCCTTAGGCTCTGGGAGCGACTTGCAGTCTGCTCCTTGATTTTGCCCATGCCGAAGAGGCGACTGAGTCTTATATGGTGAGGAGGTCTTCGCTAGTTTGGTGTTTTGGCCCTTAGGCTCTGTGAGTGACTTGTAGTCCACTCTCCTTGATCTTGCCCATGCCGAAGAGGCGACTGGGTCTTATGTGGTATTTTAGCCCTTAGGCTTTGGGAGCGATTCGTAATCCACTCTCCTTGATCTTTGATTTTGCCCATGCCGAGGAGGCGACTGGGACTTTTCGTAGTGTCAATGTCTTTTATCAGTTCGCCAGTTCGTGCTTGGGCCAGGCTGCCAGGTCAGCGCTAGGGCTAGGTCGCGCCTGTGCCAGGCTGCCAACTTGCGCCAGAGCCAGGGACAGGCCGCTAGGACGCACCAGTGCCAGGGCCAAGTCACGCCAGGACCAGAGCCAGGCCGCCAGGTCGCGCCTGGGCCACGGCTACGCTGCATCAGCCTTGTTAGTGACGTCGGTTACCCACTCCTACAAGAAGCAAATAGGAGCTCGACCTACGGGGGCAACACTATTGACTTTAGGTCACCAGCTCGCACAGGAGTCTTAGAAGGCTCAACCGGCAGGGGCGTCCATGTAGTCTGTTGGCCGCCTACTCCCGCGGAAGCCACGAAGAGATCATCTTTGCAGAGGGTGCCTCGCAAAGAGGACTGATGAGGCTTTATCCGAGTTGAAATAAAGTTGGTAGAGTTGTTGTTGGCCATCAACATCCTGCATAGTCTTTGAGTTCATAAAAAATGGAAACTAGAAAGTGAAAGCTTTTAGTAGAACTTAGCTTTCTGGAAGAAGAGGACTTAGCCTTTCAGAAAATGAGAATTTAGTTTTTTGTAGTGTTTCCCACAGACGGCGCCAATTGATGAATCAATTTTTGGGTGATGGCCATTTTTTTGTGCTAAGTACCTCGTCATTTGGTTTGCTTCCAAGTGGCCGATGACTCAGGCCGAAGTAAACTTTGGCTGCCGAGCTGAGTCGAGCTGGGCAGGCTTGGTGGTGAGCTAACTATAGTGTCGAGCTGCCTATGAGGTGCCGAGCTGCCTGTGAGGTGCTGGATTGACCAGGTGCTGAGCTGTCTATGAGGTGCTGGGCTGACTAGGTGTCGAGCTGCCTGGTGGCGAGCTGAGTTGATGAGCTTCGTTGCTCTTTAGAGACCTACAAGGAACCAAATGTTAGAGGACCCGGAGTGGCTAACCCGGCGAGGTTGCTCCGATACTTAAGTCAGTACTCTCATACTGCGAGCTAAAAATCACAAAGTTTGAGAGGTAGAACTTGCTTACTTGCTTGCTTGCTTGCCCCCTTGCCATTGGGGTTGGTGCCTTTATGTAGGCATTGTTTGGCGTGGGCTTCAGGCACCATATTCGAGATTTCTGCGGGGTCGTCTAAGTGGTTTGAGATTATTAAAGGTAACCTCCATGCACGTTGACCACACTCTGGATCGTTCGGCACGTGGGCCAACTTCTAAAGATTGTGGGAGTGTTAGGATATTTATGCCGAATTTGTCGGTGAGAACGTCTTGCAGGTCGCCAGGTTAGCGCTTGTGCCAGGCCTCCAGGTCGCACCTAGGCCAGGCCGTCAGGTCACGCCTGGGCCAGGCTGCCAAGTCACGCCAGGGCCAGGCCGCCAGGTTGCGCTTGTGCCAAGCTACCAGCTCGTGCCTGTGCCAGGCTGCTAGCTCGCGCTAGGGCCAGGCCGTCAAGTCGCGCCTGTGCCAGGCCACGCCTGTGGTTGGGACACCATCAACATGACTAAGGCAAGTTGTTGCCAAAGTGGTTCCAGGTGTCACCTAGTTGTTTTGAGGTGCCATATGTCACAATATCATTGGAGGGCCAAATCTGCCCTCATCATTTCCCCCCCCCCACTCCTGAGCCGAAAGTAACTCGACGAAGGGAATAGATTTCTCCTTTTGGCCCGGAATGAATAATTCGATGAGCTCGTAAGCGGCGATTCAATTCCTTAGGCTCTGGGAGCGACTCGCAGTCCGCTCCTTGATTTTTCCCATGTCGAAGAGGCGACTAAGTCTTATATGGTGAAGAGGTCTTCGCTAGTTTGGTGTTTTGGCCCTTAGGCTCTGGGAGCGACTCATAGTCCACTCTTCTTGATCTTGCCCATGCCGAAGATGCGACTGGGTCTTATGTGGTATTTTAGCCCTTAGGCTCTAGGAGCGACTCGTAGTCCACTCTCCTTGATCTTTGATTTTGCCCATGCCGAAGAGGCGACTGGGACTTGTCCGCCCATGCCGAGGAGGCGACTGAGACTTTTCGTAGTGCCAATGTCTTTTATCAGTTCGCCAATTTGTGCCTGGGCGAGGCCGCCTGGTCGGTGTCAGGGCCAGGCCGCCAGCTCGCACCAGGGCCAGGGCCAGGACGCGCCTGTGCCAGGGCCAGGTCGCGCCAGGACCAGAGCCAGGTCACCAGGTCGCGCCTGGGCCACGGCTGCGCTGCATCAGCCTTGTTAGTGACGTCGGTTACCCACTCCTACAAGAAGCTAATAGGAGTGGGGATAACACTACTGACTTTAGGTCACAGCTCGCACGGGAGCCTTAGAAGGCTCAACCGACAGGGGCGTCCATGCAGTCTATTGGCTGTCTACTCCCGTAAAAGCCACGAAGAGCTCATCTTTGCAGAGGGTGCCTCGCAAAGAGGACTGATGAGGCTTTATCCGAGTTAAAATAAAGTTGGTAGAGTTGCTTAGTCTATTGGCCATCAACTTCCTGCATAGTCTTTGAGTTCATAAAAAAATGGAAACTAAAAAGTGAGAGCTTTTAGTAGAACTTAGCTTTCTTGAAGAAGAGGACTTAGTCTTTCAGAAGATGAGAACTTAGCTTTTTGTAGTGTTTCCCATAGATGGCGCCAATTGATGAATCAATTTTTGGGTGATGGCCATTTTTTTGTGGTAAGTACCTCGTCATTTGGTTTTCTTCCAAGTGGCCGATGACTCAGGCCGAAGTGAACTTTGGTTGCCGAGCTGAGTCGAGCTGGGCAAGCTAGGTGGCGAGCTGACTATAGTGTCGAGCTGCCTATGAGGTGGCGAGCTGACTAGGTGGCGAGCTGTCTGTGAGGTGTCGGGCTGACCAGGTGCCGAGCTGCCTGTGAGGTGCTGGGTTGACCAGGTGTCGAGCTGCCTATGAGGTGTTGGGATGACTAGGTGTCGAGCTGCCTGGTGGCGAGCTGAATTGATGAGCTTCGTTGCTCTTTAGAGACCTGCTGGGAACCAAATGTCAGAGGACCTGGGGTGGCTAGTCCGGTGAGGTTGCTCCGATGCTTAGGTCAGTACTCTCATAGTAGACTGCGAGCTAAAAATCACAAAGTTTGAGAGGTAGAACTTGCTTACTTGCTTGCTTGATTGCCCCCTTGCCATTGGGTTGGTACCTTTATATAGGCATTGTTTGGCGTGGGCTTCAGGCACCATATCCGAGATTTCTGCGAGGTTGTCTAAGTGGTTCGAGATTACTGGAGGTAACTGCCATGGACGTTGAACACACTCCGGATCGTTCGGCACGTGGGCCAACTTCTAAAGATCGTGAGAGTGTTAGGATATGCATGCCGAATTTGTCGGTGAGCACGTCTCGCAGGTTGCCAAGTCGGCGCCTGTGCCAGGTTGCTAGCTCGTGTCAGGGCTAGTTCGTCAGGTCGCGCCAGGGCTAGGCCGTCAGGTCGCA